AATATTTCAGCAACCTGCATTGGCGAGCAACGCGATGCGAGCTTTGTAAACGAGACAACATCCGAGAAAAATATTGTCACAGTTGCGAATGCCTCGGGTTCGACGTTTTGTCCCAACTTCAGTTTTTCAGCTACTTGCCTAGGTAATCACTTGAACTTGGACAATGTTTTTCGAAATTGTCGGAGGTAATGATGAGAGTAAATAAACTTTTCAATATTGACCGTTTGGTTGATAGTGATGCACCACTAGATACACCTGATGTCTTCATAAACATATGATGAGCGGCAATATTTTAGTTGACAGATAAAACATGAAAAGATAATATTTCTTCGCTTAGATCCCTCAAAGCATTGCACTCTCGAGACTTTGTGAAATTGGTTAATATTAGTGATAAGAACTGGAGCATAATACTAATATTATATACTGAGGCATCATTCTGTAAAGCAGAATATCGGATTTCTTCTTCTCTTCAATAAGTTCTTTCGTGCGTTGTTCCACTTCTGCTTCGAGTGTTCCAGCGTAGTCCTCCAACATTGCGAAAACATGGTCCATTAGGTTTTGACTTCTGAAAATTTCAGTTAGCAAAACTCTTTGGACAAAATAAGTTCGGGAATAGAATTTTCTACGGTAATTTTCCACGGGAATAGAATTGCCGGTAGTGATCTTGAATAGAGATTGATTTTCGAACGGAGAATTTTTGGAAGTTCGCGTGGAAGAGTGGTTGGGGAGAGTAAATCTTAAACGATGCTACGTTGGAATTGCTCACACCTGCCAGGATTCATATTCTGAATGAGTTCTTTAACAGTGCTGATTTGTGGACGGTTTTGAGGGTCCTCTGACCAACAGTCCCGGATCAAGAACAACTGAAATTGAATCAACTAGAAGAAACTGAGAAAATTCCTTCAAATGTTCGAAAACTGTTTACTTGAAATTTTTCAATGAAAAGTACTCTCTAATTGAAATAGCAATCAAAATGTCATGAACAAAGTGACCTACCAATGCGGGATTCAAATCTTGGTGAGCAATATTCGACAGATCCGGTCGGAACGGTGGCGTAACACCATGGCGTACCATGTAAATGATCTCTACAAAACGAACAATACTAGTTTATGCTGTCATAGTTTTGTTCCTACATTCATAAAATGGCATTGACCACATTCAAGAGATCGTAACGCTCTGATCTTATCAACAAGCCATATCTTTTTGGAAGCATCATGTGGAGCGTATATCACTTAACATGTAGCTTGTTCTCGATAAGAAATAACTGTTTCGAGATATGACTGCATTTGTGAAGGTCTTTCTTCATTACCTTACGACGATGACGTGTGAAGAATACAAATTACGAGGTTTAACTTATCAACAAACTGAAAATCTGTGGCTCTTCTTGAGAACCTGCGCTTTGTTCCTTTCGTTCACCAAGATTCCATGGTCTTGATAAGCACATCAGTTCAGCACAGATTATTGCCAGACTGTATATATCAGCACATTTCGTGCCTTTTTCTTGTGGATCACGCAACAACTCTGGTGCCGTCCAAAGTAACTCTGAATAATGGAAGGTTTTGTTCTTTAGGAAATGAACTGCAATCATTCAACACCTACTTTAGCTAGATTTGACATTTTTGCACCGCATCATTTGGCTACCNCTCATGAGATTCCTTCCTCAGTTTCGATGAAATGAAAAATGCGAAACCGCAAAAAGTCATATCTTGATGGTGTATTCGTTTGGAATCATCCTACAATGTTCCATTATGGAATAGGTCTGTCGTATTGGAATCAGAAGATGTCTATACCATCATCAGTCAGGTTCTTCATAGCGCGTAAAAACCTGATGCCAAAATTGGAGATTTTCACTTGCCATCGTTCGTCAATGAGACAGTTGGCCGATGTCAACGAACCATGACTTCCAATCGGTGATGAATGAATAGCATTCAAGCCCTCAATCAAACATCTTCAATAATGTTCCAAGGTACTGTCCAGCTCGATAGAGCATGCATACGAATGCGAAGAAATCTACGCATGATTTGAAAATGCATATTGATAAAAGAGGCAAAAAAATGACATCAAAAATTTACATCAACGATATCACGAATCAGACAATACGCGAAGAAGCTATCGATTTGCATCTTCCCTTCCTGGATGACGTCCTTAAATGGAGGAGGTATTCATAAGAGCCATTTCGCTAATGTTCTACACAGATTTTTATCAATAATAAACAAAATTAAGAACTGCCGGTTACTTGCAGTACTTTTTTGTGTATGAATGTCTGAGAGAAAGGAGTACTCTCAAGCAACGCAACAGGAAATTTGGAAACACACATGCCTGTAAGGAGCCTCGACTACAGTATTTCCAAACAACCAAATACGTCGGTGCATCGATTACTAATCCAATAAAGCGGTTCAAATTACTGTGTTCCAGAGTGCGCATCTAAAAACCACTTCAACTGCTTGAATGCACATCAACTTTGCTGGTTCCTTCAACCGTTGCTATTCCCTAAGCCTCAAATGTTTCATAATTGATTTTTTAAGATCTAAGCTTACGTAGTTGGAGTTATCACTTCAGTAGTCTAACTGCAAAACCATAGCGAATATTTTATTTTTGATTGAAATCATGAATGCATCGACTTGATCACTTCTAAATTGAAAAAAAATCGAGCAATGCCTCACCGCACGCAGTTGACTGAAGTTTTCTTTCGCCACTTGTACCCGGAAAGGAAATTTCTCAGCGTAGACCAATTCGTTATCCAACATGAAATAACCTATTTCATCCGAATTTTTAGTGTTCGCATTCACATGCGATTTAGTGGATGCATTTGAGCCCAGAACAGAACTTTTCGACATGGAAACGCTGCGCTACAAAAAGAATATTTAAGATACAACTCACTGAGCTTGTATCTTAACCAAAGCTAATGCGTATATTTCGAATGCAAGCAACTTTTCATATCCGTTCAGCTCACCTCATCGGGAACTACGAGTCTTGAGAATGACAGTTGCCACAATGAATTCTCTCGTTGCACTTCTCGAGCTTTTTCCCTGATAGACAACAACCGTGAATGAAACGTATCATATTCATAACATGCATAAGGACTACTTCGTGAACATCTTATCCAAATGGCAAAAGTGTGTCAAAGTGGTTTAGTGGCTCAAACGCATTCTCTCATCCAGTTGAGATAGATAGTGTTGTCTCGGTTCCATACGAGCTGTTCTGTTCGTTTCCGTTTTCCGTCATTCAAATTTTCAAATCACTCTATTGTTTCATTTTCGGACTCCGAAATTTTTGAGCGCTTTTGTCTGGTTTTACTTTCACACTGCTCGTAACCCAAAATTTTGAAGCGGTTCTGCTATATTGTGCTCCATTCTGGTGTAACAGAACAGAGGAGACAACACTGACAACTTTATTTGGAATAGAAAGAGCACTCCTCTCATGGATTTCTGGAATCCACGGTTTTTCAACCAGGGTGCTCGTATACAGAGTGGATGTCGTGAGGTGTACGATGACATCTTAAAATGTTCTAGAGAGTGGGTGGACGGGGAGGGGGGAGGGAGGAGGTTGAAAAGCACAGCTTTAATCTAACGATATGAATAATCTCAACACAACTTGAAAACCACTCCATACCTCATCATATAAATTGTTCCTGCGATCAGGAGTATAACGGTTGTGGCAATAATTATGCCTGCAGCGGCAACATAGCCCCAATAATGCTGTAAATATTCTCATCAACAAGTTTTCTCTCAATATTGAGCCGAAAAATCAGGAAATTTCGCGTTAACTGTTCAAAATCACCGATGTTTTTCATCCAGAAAGGTTCTCAGTTTAAAGTGAAATTCGAGTTGATAAATTGCAACAAACTTCCATAAAATTAAATGGGCAATTATTGCCAGTGAATCCACATATCGGTATAGCAAGAGGTACTTTTCCATCACGTTGTGACCAAATTGTACTTGATGCGTTCTGATATAACTGGGTCGTAACCTGAAAATATCGACGGTGCACTTTGTGAGCTTTAATGCTAGACATGCTTTGTTGAATACTAAGTGCCAATAGTGAAAAACGAGACTGATTTGCAGACTGAACGCTGAAAATTCGTCAATTCTCGCCTGCAAGTAATTATAAAGATTTGTTTGNTGGATTACGAGATCCGTTTATTCCGATCACAACCGGACCGGCGGGTCCTGGAAGTTGAGCTCTCTTAAGTTCCGACTCAACATCGGTGAAGCTTGAACGTTAGCATTATTGCAAGTGGTTTCGTGCCGTGATCAGAAGATCATTAGTTGTCGAATGCGTTCAATTGAACAAAACAATTTACCATCAAAACTGCCAACAGAATTATTGATAATAACTCTTCCCGATTTCCATTCATCTCCTGAGGTCTCCCTGAGAGTCTTATTCAACGCTAAACCATACAAGAACATTGTATTGTAGAGACTGCCCGCATATCTTGAAGCCTAGAACTTTTCGTTTTTATGATTGACGCATCTATTGAACCAAACACGTTGATAGATTTCGCGTAAAATTTCAAAGTTTATGGTGAATGCATCCTCTCTTTTCTCTCTTCCACTTCATTGAGCTTTTCAAATACATTATGCTATCCAAATTCATATGCATACCTATCAAAAGTTATGCGACGATCTTTTCCAAAAAATTTCCTACTCACAATCAATTTCTTAGAACTTTATATGTGATTGTTAAAAGCACATATTTCTGTTGATTGTTAAAGAACGGCTTCCTTATCGAGCAACAGAAACCACAGAAATTTGCTCAACAGAAAAGTGACTGACCTTGACGTTGGTTGGGCATTCGGTAGAATTACAATAGAAGGGATAATCCTTCATGTGCTCTATCACCTGTTCGCCGAATAAAGCGGATGGATGCATTTTAAGACTCATCTGCAACGATGTACATCTGATGCAGAGTCATTGATGATTTGTTTGTTTCAATCCTCATAGCATTCAAAATGGGAAGGCACTGTAAGCGGCTACCATACGAGCACGAGAATGAAAACGCATGGTTGTATAAAGATCAGAAAGCGGTTCAATAGCCTGTTGACAGGTAAGACAAGTAATTCTGGTAATCCAGGACTAGAAAATGGAACACTGAGTATTATTGAACGAGTTGATTTGATGATCTCGGGAAGAGTGATGATAAAATTAACATGACTGATATTATGTGTATTACTAATGAAAGGCGGTGTACCATTAGAACATAACGAAGGGCTTCCACCGACTTTTCCTTGTTCCGGAAGTTACTATTATTCGTCCATGATTCGTAGTTACCAATTGCTCAAAGCAGGCATGAATTTACAAATGATAGCGAATTATAGTAAAACTGATCCCCAAAACTGACGGAATTAATTTGATTTTGGAACAGATCGAGCACATAAAGTTCATTTACAAAGCATTGTTCATTATCATTACGTCTATTCCAATTGTTTTCAAGGTGAGAGAAGCAATGAGATAATAATGTGAAGTGGTTCGAGCGCATTACCGTTTCCAGTGTATTCAACGTCGGGAAAGATGTAGACATACTCTGGATTTGTCATGCCATGATCTTCGGCTTGGAACATGAATTCCATCTTTTGTTCTACATCATTCAAGCAGACAATTATGACTGAAATGCATGAAATCTGGTCCACGCAATTGCGTCTTGTTCAATGTGGAAAACCTTCTTCCAGGATTGCAATTTCAAAAACTCCAGGTGAAGATCAGCAGATTGTATGGAGAAAAATAAAATAAGTAACGAACTTCTCGCACGACGACTCAATCCGTCGAGAATTTCAGAGAAATTTCGCTGACTTAACGGCACTACGTCCAAGTAGACCATAGTGAGCGAAGGCGGAAAAGTTGACATTGCGTTATGAAAATGGCAGTGATGTATTAGTAACCTTGTGTAAACGAAGGAGTTTTTGAAAGATGATAGTGGGAAACAGAGATGTGGATCAAAATTCATCATGATTTCTTTGGCTATCGAAGAATGCTGAAGGGACGCTGAACTGTTGTGAGATATGAGCTTCACGAAAAAAAATATCTGGTTGATACGATCAGATAAACGGCCCGGGAGATTCGCATCCTAAGACGATGTGTAAGAGTTTGATAACACAGGGGACTTCTTTCAATGTCAAATTATAATTCGTAAACTTACTTCGAGATCCTGCTGTAAGAAAGCGCAATGCCCCAAACCTGAACTAGTGCCCGCATAAACAAGTGCAAATTCGGTCCAGTTATACTTTGTCAGCAGCGCGCACAACGCTACTCCCAATCTGGAAAGCCACTGGGTATTTACTCAAAGTTAATGATGCTGGATACCGTACAATAAGTCCTTGGCTGCGCAGAAAAGTCGACACAAATTTAACGAAAATCGAAGACTCGAGAAGCGAGGAATTTTTCGAATTTGGTCCGAGATGACGGTTGTTCATAGGCAAACGAAAGATGAAACTGGAAAAGACGAACGAAAGTGAATCTGGAGTAACAGTGACAACAGTTGGAAAACGCCTAGAATCAACGAGCTGCGACGCTGTCGTCGGACCCCATTGAAAATTCGGAATGTCATAACTGGACGCCAATACACCAACATCCAATGCAGCTGCAAAATAAAATGCATTCCCTTCCCTCCCTTAAAACAAACGTCCAAGCTTTATGAGTCGAGAAGTTTTACAATTTGGTGAGAATGTTTCAAGTTAACAATCTTAGAATAAATTTTCATTGTTACACATACATGATGTCCGTCAATCATGGATCTGGTTACGCACAAATCTTCAGATTAATTACCCGCTACCAAATCTCCCTAATTCACGATAGCAGTCAAAATTCTGGAACTGTGTCACGCTCAACCCCGAGTGGAGGTTTAATTGATACTGGTATTCCTAATACCACTCTACTCTTAGTAATGAGATGTAAACATTTCAGGGTATATCTCAGCACCTCAGTAAGTCCATTCAGACGATGTAAACATTTCTCGTGGCTCATGAGATAATTCCGCTAAATAAATTCAAAAATTATGCGATTACTGCCATGATCTAAGCGCAGTAATGGCTTGAATATGGTAATCTCCGGGTACTCAATTTGTAGTATTTGCTGACTCGAAGAAAGTATCCACCCGAATATCATGCGGAGATTTGGGTCTTTCTCCGGAAACAAGCATTATTCGTCGACAACATTTGAACACTGACAACAAAAGCATGCAGGCAAATCACGGAGCTGCTGAGCAAATCTGACTGAGCATGAACACAGCTACAAAATGGCTATTCAAATTTTCCTGTGGTCATGAGTTACTGATCAGCCAAAAGAAACATTGATCAACACATTACAATAAGAATCGAAACGGCATATCAGATAACTTGCGAAATGTGAGTATATGTTGAAAAGGATGAATTTCTGGTCATAGGTAAAAATAATGTCCTTGTAAATGAGGAAGAAATCCGTTCAAATGTGTTTAAGTGAAACTGAACTGATTTGACTGAATACGAAATTACTAACGCGCATTACAAGGAGGACCCAGGATCAGATTGACATGATCTTTGAGGATCATATCAATAGCAAGGCGAAGTGCTTTTTCCTCGTTGCAATCTTCAAATTGCCATATGAATCTGAAACTGATATTCTCTTAATCATTCATTAACAACACATTCGTTGCACTCAAATGTGCTTCCAGCTGCATTCAAAATGAATGAGTCAGCTCAGTTTAGGTGTTAGAATTTATCTGAAATACTAGTAATTTCATGAGACGGATGTTCGGAACGTACGTGAAATTAACATCATTGATCATATGTTGCGCTTGAAGTTCCTCGACTGCGAGCATAACCGCGGACGCTGATTGTGTGAAGCCAGAAATGGGTGAGTGCTTTGGCAGAAGCATACCAACTTTGATGAAATATTTCAACTGAACAATGATCGATATATTTCAAATAATTGCTCAAAGTCAAATGATTGCTCAAAGTATAATCAGGTTCACTCAAACGGTTCCTTTGCTGTAGTCTGAAGTCAGTCTAAAATGTCACATCCATCCGATGACTTGAAAAGGTAAAGTTATCCGCTGTTTCAATAATCTTGACAGATCTGTTGAGTAAAGGTGAACGATTGTTATTGAACCAGATCTATTTTCATTATCAAAAAGCCTGACTGGGTTGATGAAATGATCTAATGAAAGTTCGAGGTGAGCCTCGTTGAAACATTCAAACTGGTTCGGATTCCTTCGAATCTCGACTCAATTCGAACATTGCAATGCAATGTCGGAATCGCAATTGTCCGCTCTTGATTGACTAAACTATTCACAATTATTTCCTTTTTGAACTCGAAATTCTGACAAAAGATATAACATTCACGAAATGACGAAACACGTCTTTCATACAACATCTCATCTTGTTTGGTGCGTAATTTCGAAAAATTAGATTCCGAATTTTGTTTCGCAAGTCCGAAATTGTGATCATCGGATTTTGGAATCTCGAATTTGGAACTGAGTAGAAATTTTGTCAAGGTTAACTTTATTTAAGAATCCATCAAAATTTGCTTAAGAAATCATCAATAAGTCACGCTGACCTTAGTTTGTGGTTCAGCTGTTACAAGAAACGCATAAGCGATGAGTATGGTCGATAACGCATTGCTGGATTTGCACAAGAACGGACCCGCACAATCTATCATCAACCTAAAAGTAGCCGGCAGCTATCACCGTCACCGTATCACCATCGCATTTCAACATGGAAGCAACGAAATGAATTTCAAAAAAAAAATAGATTTAAGCGTTATGTTTGATCATTTGTTGTTGCTGACTGTTGCCTTCTCGTTGTGCTTCAAAACGTCTGATAAACTCTAAAACATTTGCTGATTGGAGATGCAGTGAGAAATTTAGTGTACACTGATTTTCGTTGATGGGAAATCAAATCGAGATTATCTCCCCAGTAAACTACGTAAACCAAAATTACGCGACTCTTCGAAAATCAGAACAGATACTTCGACTGATACACTACTATAATTAAAGGATCCAGGAATCAGCGTTGTTTGAGACTAGTAACGTTGCATGATCAGAACAAAATATAAGAGTCGGTGCAATCTCAGGTAACAAGGAACAATATGGATGAGAATGAGGAGTGAAAATCATCAAATAACCATGGAGTTATTAGTTTCATCATCACTATGCAATAAGACCAAATTGAGAAACCTCTGATGCCATGAAACCTGTTAAATCCTCTCATAATAATGGAATAATGAGCTTTTTTATGAAGATTGTATCATGAAGGATAATATCACAATATTGCAGTTTCGATACATTCCGTATTCAAAGAGAAACCATTTAATTAAGAATTTGATGCTGTGTTGAACGAATTGGAACGGGTTATACGATCAGCGTAATCAAGGATCAAGGGATCCAACAATTTCATGAAGTAAGAAGCAATTTGGTATAGTGTTTGTCGGAGAACAGGGTCCCCGTGGGGACACCCGCGGGGAATGCGGGCAGCGCTCCTACCATACGCAATTTGCTCCCTGACATTTTCTCGGGGACCCCCGCCCACTTTCGCTCCCCGGCGAATATCGCGAACAATAACTGAAAATGGTTAAAGACCGCTGCAACACTTTCAATATTGTCTTGTTGTTGTTTTGAAATGTGAGTATAAGGTGCACTTGAAAGAAAACTACTTAAAAAAAAGAAGGAAAATCTTTAAAAAATTGAAATTTTGTTTAAAAAATTGAGCTGAAATGCTCCCCGTCCTCCCCGTCGGGGAATACGGGGAGCGGTCATTCCCTGACGGGGTCCCCCCCCTCCCGTGCAATTTGCTCCCCGACTTTTTCGCGAGGACCCCCTCCGTCCAATTTACTCCCCGCAGGGACCCTCCCCGCGCAATTTGCTCACCGACTTTTTCGCGGGACCCCCCCCCC